GTACCAGGGATTGAACTTGGGCCCTTGCACTTTCGAGGCAGGTGGCAGAACCAGTGAGCCAAATCCCCAGCCCTTGTTGTCCTCTCTGAGTAGGGGATGTACTGGCCCCCAGTCCTGCCTCTGGAAAGTTCAATTTGGGGATAATTTGACAAAACAAATCAAGGAGCTGAAAAAAATGTTTTTTCCTTTTCACGTAGTATTTCAGAAAATAATTAAAAGGCTGGTAAATTCTTCATGCCAGGAGGTGTTTGTCATCCTTGGAAAGAGGTACAGGAGCCACCGAAATGTTTAGGACCAGGGCACCAGTGAAACACACGATCCTCCTTTCATGTAATGCCTGGTAAGCAGGCAAGGAAAACGACGTTTCACTAAAATGAGAGACTGCTGATGTCACACCAAGTTTTAAAAAACTGGAGCACTAAATTACATATGCAACATGGTTAAAAAATCTGGACGGCACCACAGCAGATCATTAGTGGTGGACGTTGTTTTGGGGCGTGGGACCATGGGTTGTTTGGGGGTTTCTCTAGTCTTTGCAGTGGTTTCTATGTTTCCTCTGGAGAACATCTATTACTTTTCTAATAAAAATATTTAAATAAGCCATGTGTTTTCTCCTTTTTTAAAAAGAAAAAATGGAATGAATCATGATTCATTTATGTAAGCAAGATTCCAGCCAATTCCTGCTCAGGGAAAGCCCTTGCTTACATAAAAACTGGTAAATAAGTGCATTCTCATGTTTTCGTTTAAAGTAAAATGTTTAAATGTTTACACAATGTCCGTAGATGAGTCCTTTTGTACTTAGCCGCCAGTCCTGAGCAGGCAGACTCAGTGGGCTTCCAGTCACCCAGGAAATCAAGCAGCAGTGGTTTCTGTAGCAGGGGGCTTGGGGAAGATGCAATCACCCACCCAGCCAAGAAGTCCACTCAAGTCCCATAATTCCACCTCATTCCTTGATTTTGTGTCCCCATGAGACAAAGCAAAAGGGAGGAGCTACTCTTTCCCCAGCCTGTTCTCTGTTCTGATCCATGTCTCTCTCAGCTGGTTCAAGTCTTTGAATAATTTTTTCCATGGTGGTGGCAAGAATGACATTTTTCTGAGCCCTCTCACTCCAGCACATCATTTTGTTGCCATTGCTTGCAAAGGACACTGTTCAGTATCCTCTGCTGTGGTTTGCAGTGTATCCTCCAATGGTTCCCAGGGTGGTATTACTGGGAGGTAGCGTGGAACACTTAGGAGGCGGGGCCTAGTGGGAGGATTTTAGGTCATTGGCACTTGGTGATGTGATCTCTCCCTTCTACATGACAGTGCACCATTGCCATCCACTATGTGGTGATAGACACAAGAGGAGGGGCCTGCAAGAGCCTATGTGACAATGTTTGAACTCTTAGCACCCAGAATTGTAAGCTAAATAAATCTCTTTCCTTTATAAAGTTGGCCTGCTTCATGTATCTTGTTCATAGGAAAGCAAAATGGACGAGCAGAGCATTACAGCCTGTTTATCTCCAGTCCATAGATGTTGTTCTACTGAGGTCTCCTATATTTGCTGCTGCACAAAACCCTGATTTTTCTTGCTTTTATGTTGCCCATTCCCAAAACCTATCTTCAACCTCTGGTCAATCTGATGTTTATAGTATTTTCTTTTCTCTTTGCAATTCAAAAATGCCATCAGAATGTGTTTAAGGGACACTCACCTCACCCTTTCTTGTGTTCTGTATGGGAGGCAAGGTTCCATTTCTTGGGTGAAGACACAGAAGCTGGACCCTCAACTACCTCCCAGGTTTCTGGGACTTCCTCTCACACTCCTCATAGACCACCCCAACTTTGCCCTGTGAGGCAAACCTGCTGTTAACAAAAAGTACCTGGATGGTGGAGTCCCACTGGCTGGCATTCAGGTAGATCCCAGCTGTGCCACTTAATTAAGGGGGTGACTTTAGGTGAGGCCCTTCCTGAGCCTAGGTCCTTCTCTTGGTGTCAGGAGCATCATCCTAGTGAGGCCTGTTGGCAGGGCACAGCAGGATCACCCTCAGGACCAGATCAGCACCAGCCCTTTTTGTTGCTCAGGCATGAAAGTTCTCCACATCCATGTATTTTTCTGGGCAGTGGATGGCCCAGCTGTCCCCAACTCCATCCTCTCAGCCACAGACACCATAGCCCAAAGGGACTCTCAGAAGAAATTCCCAAGGCCACTTGCAAGGAAAGTCCCCTGGTGGTATTTATCCTCCCACTGACAGACATGCCCATTGCTGGGAAGACGCAGGGGGTGGGTAGGGAGGAAGAGGACAGGCAAATGTCCCAGTCCGAGGGTGGCTAGGGCCTGCTGGGGCTTCCAGGCTACTGCCCGCTGAGGAGAAGAGCCAGGCTGGGGCTCAGGCTCTACCAGCGCCCTCTTTGTTCTGTCAGCTTCCTCCCTCCCTACTCCTTGTCTCCTTCCCTCCTTCTCTCTCCTCAGTAGCAGGCTGGTTTCCTCCCTGCCGGGGCAGCCCCTGGAGTTCTTAGCTCTGCCTGTCCGGAGAAGCAAGATGAAGTGGGCAGAGCCAGCCAGGCTCAGATGGCCGCTCAGCCTCTGCTTCATCTCTAGGGACTAATTCCTCACAGCCAAGCGGGACACCACACCTACTGGGCAGGTTGATCAGAAGGAATGCTTGTGTGATTGCTTTGGGGTGGCAGCGGTGCCCTGGGGCTTATATATACTTCCACCAGTACCGGGCGGCCTCCCAGCCTGTGTGACCCCACAGCACGCCCCTTCCTCCGCGTAGGCATAGCCTGCTCTGCCTGGGTGTGGAGCTGCACTGGAAACCCACCCACAAGGGAGAGAGCTTAAAACTTACCCACGGTGACAGAGGTGTGATAAGCTGGTCGTGGGGACAAGCAGGCAGCAGACGAGCGGGTGTGTGTGTGTGTGTGTGTGTGTGTGTGTGTGTGCGCGCGCGCACGCGCGCGCCTGCGTGTTGAGGGTGGCAGCAGACAGGCTCAGAAAAAGAAATAGTGGAAATCCTGCCTTTTGGTTCCCGATTCTGGAGGGTTAGGAACCAAATATTGATGCTACAGACCCGGGGTCCTGCGGGGATGGGACGGGGAACTACAGACGCACAGCGCTGTGTTCAAGTCCCTCTGGCCCCTGCCTGCCTCTCCCGCCCGCCGGGCTCCGTGCTTCGTGCCGGCGGAAGTTTCTGAGCTGGGCAGCCCT